ATATAATTTTTTATTTATATTTATTTATTTATATTTTGTTGTTCTGTTTCCAGTTTTCCAGTTCACTTTTTTTTTAATTTAAAATTTTTTTTTTATGTAAGCTAACAAATGCTAGCCAGTTTACAGAAAGAGCATCTTATTCCTAAAGAGTATTTGGGCGACATATTTTTATTAAGTATGCTAATTGTGCTACAACAAGAAAAAGCCTCTTCAAAGTTTATATCTGTCTTTTAAAAAATATATTTTTTTCAATTCCCTATGATTTACTTCAAATATCTTGATTTGGCCCTTTGGAAAAAGAGTTGCCCAGTCTGTTTAAAACCCTAAAGACTGAACTGGAAACAGGAAGTCCAACCAGATGGACTGAAATATGCAGATTCCTTGAAGAAATGCATGTCACCCCTCACCTTTACGCCACAGATTTCAGCTACTAACGCAACAAACTTTGTGCCACCAAAAATGTAAAAATGAATTTTTGTGTCTTATAAGGTTAGTTGGCTGAGGCAGCCATCTTGAATTGAATCAGCTTTACATTTTAATAATTTGCAGATAAACATTCAGGGAATATTTCCTACAATCTGACACGACGCAGATATTCTAAGGACAAACTCCATATGTTTTTATTTTATTTAAAAAAAAAATATCCTGACAGAGAACTATGAACCCTGACTCAGTGTTAACATTTAAATACTGGGCTGTACAGAACGTAATCTCACTGTACTTAACTGTGCAATGACAATAAAGCTTATTCTGATTTTGAACTAAGAACAGAAAAGTTCAGGTTTATGTGGAATAATAATGTTTCATGCAAATATTGAAAATGTGCAATATTCCTCAGAGTTTAACAAAAACTCATTTTACAGCTTTGAAATACTCGTTTAATATAAAAAAAGTTTACTTTTTGTCACAGAATCATGACTCAACAGGTTTTTCCCACGTCGGTTCATACTAATATTTCTTTTTAACAAGACAAATCCAACTTTTTACCCTGAAACACCAGATAATTACCAGCAATATTCAGCTGACGCTTTTAACTCAGAGCTTCTGAATCACAGTCAGGATGTCTGATTTGGTTCAATGTAAAAATAAAAATAAAATTGTTTTTCTAAACTTATCTTCAAAACAACGATATTTGTTTCTCTCAGAGCTCACAGTTTATTTCCCATCAATAAAACCAATCTGACCTTTGACCTTTTCCAGTCTTGGCGATGCAGACGCAGAGCTGGCCGTAGCCGACGATGACGTGGACGCCACGGCGACAGAGACGTACTGCGGGGAGTGGAAGAACGACAAACGTACCGGGTTCGGCGTGAGCCGGCGGTCCGACGGGCTGCAGTACGAGGGGGAGTGGCTGAGCAACAAGCGCCACGGCTACGGCTGCACCACGTTCCCCAACGGCACCAAGGAGGAGGGGAAGTACAAGCAGAACGTCCTGGTGAGCGGCAAAAGGAAGAACCTGATCCCGCTCAGGGCCAGCAAGATCAGGGAGAAGGTGGACCGGGCCGTGGAAGCTGCGCAGAAGGCGGCGGAGATCGCCCGGCAGAAGGCTGAGATCGCCCTGTCCAGGTAGGCGCTCCGTCTGTGTGTCGTCTCCAAAGCCTCTGAAATTCAAAATGGCCACTTTTAAAACACTCTTACTTGAAGCTGTCTGAGTAAAAAAAACAAAATAACATTTTGCTTTGATTTTTCACCCATCAGTTAAGTTCTGTTGAAAAGTGAGCTGGTACTTTAGCTCGAATGTGTTGATGTCATTACTGCCTTGTCTGCAGTAATTAGGATGTTGCTCCGATCTGTCATAGTGAAGGCAGCACTTAGCTGAGAGGGCTTATTTACTGGTCCATGTACCTTTGAATCCTATATGATCATGGGGTATGGAGTAGCTCTGAAGGGTGGCCGGGCTCATAGACGAGGAGCTCCACCGTCCGGGGGAAACCCGAAGTAGAACCGCTTCTCCTCCTCATCCAAACAAGTCAGCTGAGGTGGTTCAGACATCTGATTAAGATCCCTCCTGGAAGCCTCTCTTTGAAGGTTTTAGGCAACGTACCTCAGAGAGGTGACTTGGTAACTGTGGAGACCACTGGAGTCCAGTGAATCCAGACTCATCAGATCAGGAAATGTTTTTTCCACTCTTTTATTGTCCAGGCTGTGTCCGTTTCCTGGTCTTAGCTGACCGGCGCGACACTTTGTGAGGTTTTCTGCTGCTGCAGCTCATCTGCTTCATGGCTGCTGTGAGTTCAGATGGTATGAGCTGCTGTTTCATTTTTGTCATCTCTTACCTGTCTGCCCACTCTCCTCTGACTTCTGACATCAACAAGGCATTTTTATCCACACAACTGCTGCTTCCTTCATATTTCACTAATGATGCTTGTGTGTGAAAATCCCAGTAGACCGGCAGTTTCTAAACTAATAGCAACAGCTCAAAGTCACATTCAAAGTCTCTTGAATCTCATTTCCGTCTCGTTGTAATGCCCAGTTTGAACTTCAGTAAGATGTCTTCGCATCATCTCAACGCCTAAATGCTTTGAATTTCTGCCATGCAATTAGTTATTTGTGTTAAAAACCAAATAAGCTGACGATGAGGGTATTTTTGGGTTCCCCAGGAGAAACTGGTGATCACTGCAGGGGAGTGGGAGGTCTGGGTTTTCCACTCTGACTTTTTTTTTCCTGTGATATGACCACTTTACTAATTAAAGGCCTAACATTCCTTAAAAGAAATACATCACCTTTCATGTGAGAGTTTTAAGTTTAGATGTTGTTTTCTTGAAGAAAAAAAAGATATGTTTTAGACTTTGGGGTCAAATCTTTAAGTTAATGTTAGGCAGGAAGTTTTCTGTCATGTTTCCACTGACCTGAGCTGAACTACAGATCCCTTCGCTCTGCTCACCTCACAGTCGTGCGCAGGAGTCGTGTTTGAAGAATAAAAGAAGCAGAAGCATTAAGTTCGATCCCGCCGACGATTTTTGATCAACATTGGAGGTTTGGACCGGAGCGATGCCAGACAGACAGAGTCAAGCTGAAAGTGGGTTAGCTTTACTATCGGGTTAGGAGAAGACTTTGGACCAGATCAGTTGAAATATGTGTCGCACTCTGACCTCATAGTCATTCTGTGAGTGTGGAATACCACCTGTCTGTTCTCCAGAGGACAGACAGTGGCAGTTTAAGAAATATATCAAATTATAAATTATGAAAACAAACATGGTGCCTCGCATATAGAAAGTAGCAGGTTCGCCCGTCGACCTTTCTGGGTGGAGTGTGTTCGTTCTCCCAGTATACAGTAGTTCCACGTCTACTGCGGGGTTTACATTCTGGACCCCCCCTGCAATAAGTGAAAATTTGGGAAGTAGGGATGTTATATTTATTTTAGTATTTTTATATATTTTAAGGCTTTATAAACCCTTCCCACACTTGCAATGTTCTAAACTTTGGTTGGCCTTGTAGCTGTTTTAAGTGCTCTATAAATAAAATGGTATGGTAAACTCTCAAACCTGCGTCATTTCAACAACATACGTACTTTGTATATGTAGCTACTAAATTTTACTCACCAGCTCTGCAGAAACAGCGGCTCGGTTCCGGTCTAGCAGACCTACCCTGCTGGTTCTGCTCCGGTTGTGTGCAAACACATTTTGGAGGGAGCCAGACTTTCAGATGGCCAGCATGGGACCAGGTGGTCCCGGTGGGCTCTAGAAAGAAGCCGGACCTACGGTCAGCGCCTTCCTGCTCGGAAGTCCTTGTGAGCCCGCTAGCAGCTCTCAGGTTCACCGATGAGTCTGGAGGTCCGGTTCTGCTCCTGTTCCCGGTGAGTTCCATGTGGCTCTCTGCATCTGATAGGCACTGTAATAAGCACCGAAATTTTTCAAATCAAATCAAAACTTTCCCTTTAATATTTCAGCAGAAGATAATGGGGATCCTGGGCGGGGCACTGTTGGCATCTGGGAAATGTAGTCGTTATGAGCGGGAATACAGTGGAGGCTTATTGAGGGAAAACTACAAAATGGCAGCTCCTGTCTGTAGCATTTTATTTTTCATTAACTTTGTACTGTGCTGTGTCCAGTACTGTCCCAATCATGTGAGTAATATTAATCAATCAATCAATCAACCTTTATTTATACAGGTAAATCCCATTGAGCCTCGAGGACTCATTTACAAGAGAGACCTGATTTCAACAAAGAAAGATGACAACAATGGACAACAGCAACAACAATAAACAGTTATAAAAAAAAGCATACTACAGTTTTTTTTTGTTTTTTTTTTAACAAATAGGATGGCTAAAAGGAAAAGGTAACAAAACAAAAAACAGCTAGATTCCAAGACAAATGTAGAAAACTAAAAACAGGAACATGTCAGCATTGGACCCAGCCAGGAGTCCAACAGATTTTTAAAGACACTTAGAGAGGTCAAATCATTAAAATGGACAATCGTGTGTTGTGTACTTTTTTTTTTAAGTGCACAATCTTACTTTGAAAAACCGTGAAAGAGCGAGTCCACGAAAGTCGAACCGCGAAGTAGCGAGGGACTACTGTATGCAGCTTTTCTCCAGGTAGTACTCCCACAGACCAAAAACATGCACGTTAGGTTCAGTGCCCGTACGTGACGTGTCCCCGTGATGGACTGCAGACCTGTCCAGCTCAACTCGTAAAGGAGACGCAAACAAAAAGAGTGGATGGAAACAAAACTCTTAGATATGTTTGGAATCTCTGTTGCATTGTTGGTGAACTTACTTGTGTTTGTATGTTTGTGTTCGTGTAATATTAAATGAAATTGGGACAATTGTTTATCAGCTGTATTTTGTGGTAAACAGAACTTTTTATCACCTGCCACCAAAAAGCAAAGGCGAGCAGTAATGTTTTTCATCATATCTGTGCATGTGTTTGTCTGTTAGCAAAATAGTTCACAAACCACTTGATGATTCTAATAAAACTTTTGGGAAATAATCATTAGATAAACATCTACAACTGGATTACTTCTGGAGACTATCTGATTTAAGATGTCCGCTGCAGCCATTCAGGCATCATTCACATAAACTCTGAGCGGAGCATTTTGCATAAATAGGCTCATCTTTTATTAATTTTTCATCATAACTATGACAATTCCATGATTTTAAACTGGAGCAGCATACGTTATAATGACTCTGCTTGATCCTGTTTTTAGATTTTATTTGCTTCTTCAGGTGCAGCGATGTGGCTCAGTGGCTCAACAGGTAACAGGCAGATGATGTTCAGAACGATGGCACAAATTAAACTTTTACCCTGCAGAACAACCTAATTCTGCCTCCAGTTTTAGCCTGGCCCAGATTCTGTAGCCTCTGCAGGAGCGTCCCAGAACTGAACAGCTGGGTGTTTCCTTCTGCAGACTCCAGGAAAAACCCTGAGAGGTGAAGAAGTCCGACTGTAATTACTGCGGTTCACGTTCTTGGAGTTTAACGCTTCTAAGAACAAGCAGAACGTCAATGTTCCCCATCGCTGAGAGATTTGAGCAGTGAACGTTTGTCGTTTTTGAGTTGAGATTCATTGAACAGATTTCGTTTTCGATTCTGGACTGGAATTGAACAGGGAATGTAAGTAAAGCTAAATGTTTTTGGTTCTAGATACTAAAGTGGGTGTGTGGAGAGGAACCGATGTAGAGGTTTTCATGACCGTCCTTTCCCGTGCTACAGATTTTAAGATGTTATTGTTCATGTTTTATAGCTTTTAATGGTCTAGCTCAGTGGTCTGCAACCTTTATCAAAAGAGCCATTTCTGCCCCTTTACAAACTAAATAAAATGTCTATGGAGCCTCAACACCTGCTAAAACTGTGATTATCAACTGGTGGCTAATGGACCACTTCAGGCTTGTTGGAGAGGGCTTTTTCAGCCAGTGGTGTGATATTCTGAAATTTTAATATCAAATTATTATTAATATTTATTGATTTTTTATATTTTGGGGCAAAAGAAAAGACTGGATTTATGTAAAGAAGAGAAAATATATATATTTTTTAAACCAATTTTATAAAAACTCAAACACAAGGATGCAGGTTTATGTGAGTTTTCTTTGTAATTTTGGTAACAATTCATAAAGTATCCTATTATGGAGTAATAAAGCATAAAGTTAAAAATTAGACCAGTTTGTTGGATATGTAATTGAATTTTAAAATGAATTTACTTTTTTTACTTGAATTTACATTTACTTTGACTTAGTTTTTTTCTTTAATTTTTATTATTGAGCTGACTCACCATATTTCTTCTATGCAACTTGCCTTAAAGGTACAAGTATTCCCCCCAAACATTTGGTGGATTTGAGAAAAAGATCACACCATAAGGCAGGAAGTGAGCTAAAAGAAGTGGTTAACTACTAGCATGATGTAGTCAACACGTTTTACTCCTTGCTAGTACTATCATTGACATGTTGGCAAATGAAATAACAGGAAAACTGCTAAAATTGCCATTTTTTTGTTGTAGGTAAAACGACCAATAAACTTCAGTTTTATATTAGTTTTGGTCAAAACCTAGAGCCGCTGCAGAAACACCAAAGAGCTGCATGTGGCTCCAAAATCTTTTCAACAAAACAACAGGGTCCTGGAGAACCCTCTT